ACAATGCATTTTTAAATACAAGCTTTTGTACAGACTGAGGACATCTAAGGTTAGTGGTATAAAACCCAGAATAGTAAACACATGACTCACTTCGGCTGTACCGTCCAGGTTAAATTTGGCTTCCTGGATCTTCAGGCCTCTCTGCAGGTCACTGACAAAACATGTTCTGACTGCAGGAAACAAAACAAAATCAATAAGCAGACATAACATCTAAAACATGTAAACATATATCACTAAGGATGAGCAGTATCCTTAATGACTCTAGGCAATGTTAACAACCAGTAATATATTTAACATTTACAAGATGCATATTCGAAGAAAGCTTTAGTTACATCATTCAAATGGGTTATTACTATTACAAATGTGCATCATTATATAACACACATCAGTATTCCAGTGACCGGATGGTAAGGAAAGAAGCAGCCACGTTTTCTTTTGGGAATGCTGTCTTTGAAGGCAATAATTAAAATCTCAATCCATTACTCTTGCGGATTTTAAACAGGAAAGAAAGAAAGAAACTCCATCAACCCGACCCTTGATATCCTCCATAGTCTCCTCTGAGATGCTCCCTGAAAGAAATATGAAAAATATATATAAATGAAGGGAAACTGAATCATTTTCTAGTTTTGATTATTCACAAATCAGCCATTTCTCAGAATTCACTTTAGAGTTAGCTTTATGAGTCTGTGGCCGTTTCTCAATGTTGAGTAAACCTGCTGCAGAGCCACTATTTCAAGTATACTACGTCATCGAGTGGCGCCGAAGGACTGTTTAAATGCATGTTAAACGCCCAGCATTCAGCGCCACTTGATGGCGTAGTATACTTGAAATAGTGGCTCTGAGGCAGGTATACTCGACATTGAGAAATGGCCAGTGTTTGGGGAATTTGTGAGCTGACACTGCAGCAAAGAACAAGTATCTTAAAACAACAGCTATGACAGAGACAATAGAAGAAACTATGTATGGACTATAGTTTAATTTCTCTCTTGAAATCATCCCCAAGGTGGATTACAGAGATGTCAGCCCTCTGCCGTATGCAGCAGAAATGTATTTGGTTCAGCAGTCCAGAAAAGTGAGTCGGCCCGCTATCTGTCTTAATTATTGATGCATATATGAGTAGCTTCTCTCTCTCTGCTGCAGATCTCACAGCTTAACATGACAATTCAGTTTTACCAGACAACTCTAAAATAGACTATATGCATATGTATAATTCACCAATTGAGCAAGATAAATCACTAACATGTCACATAGAAACATGTTCTACTTATTTATAGTAAATGATGCATAATGGGAGAAAGCCATTATACTTGTCTGCAGTTTAACACATTAGCAGTCTGTATCAGAGTACCATGTTTGTTCCTTTAAAAAGGCATACAGTGGATGGCATTTCTCTGTGATTACCAATTGCAACTGGAACACTCTGCCCAGTGGTGGTGTCTGAGTCCACAGTGCACTGCTCCACAAGAAGACTCTCTAATTCTCTGAAATAGAAACAGACACATGCAGTTATGGGAAACAAATCTAAAAGAAAAGGTTACATTTCACAGCCAATGGATTTTTAATCATAAAATTAAAATATAGTCTCACACTCTGATTCTGAAATCTGTTGGAGCTACTTACTTATGAATGGCTTTCCCTCCCAAAGGCAAAGCCTCCCAGGCAGGCAGAATAGGAGTGCACTCGTAAATCTGAGTTTACAGTTAAGGTGGAAACATATAAGGCTAGTAGGTGGCTATTGGCTTCCTTTCCATCCATCCTAGGAGGCTAAACATGTCCTGGCTCACCAAGGAGCTAACAGAGATCCTAATTCCTATTAAAATAAAAAATAAATGCAATTCCTAAAACAGTTGCAGTATTCATTTGAAAGACTCCAAAATGACAGGAAAAGGATACAGGTAGCACCAGCGTCTCTGTGTGGCCACAGTCCATCACCAGAGCAGAGTTGATGCCCAGAGTCATGACGGCCATGAGGTGACTTGGAGCAAACACCACAGAGGGCACCTGGAGAACACCAGCCAAGAATAACAGTTAGAGGGGACATGTCATGAAACGGTTACTCTTTCATTCCTTGCGATCATACGGCTGGGAATCTGAAGAGGCTAAAAACGGTTAAAGAGGACAACTCTTTTTTTAGGTCAGAAAACATCGGATTTAGCAAGCCATTCAAATGTGTCCTCCTTTCCCTTTGTCACATACAGTCTCATTAGAAAACCGCCGCCATTTGATTATCTCCACCAATGGCTTTAGAACCTTTGCGAAGGTGTGTCATATTGTATTTGCTAGCTATTCAGAGTAGACTTTAGAGAGGGATCCCTTAAAGAGTTCTAAATAAGAACATTTCAGACGGAGGGAGGTGAGTACAGTACATTCAGACAGACAGAACGAGAAAAAACTCAATGCATTTCAACTTGTTCAAGTAGGAACACAAAATGAAGTATGGACCTGAAAATGAAATATCACCTTTAACACACAGACAATACACAATGTATCTAACATGTGTGATCAGAGTTGTTGTAATAGGTGTGTTCCTACAGGACTTGTCACCATTATTAAACCATTGAAATTGATGTGGACATTTGATTTTGGAACACTAAATAACTCTAACGAAATAGAATATATTTTAAGCTTCTATGAAACACTGATCAGCTTTATTTCCATACCTCAAACTGTTTGAAGAAAACTTTTGTGAGCGTCTCCCTGAAGTGAGACGGGCAGAGGATGGACTCGATGAGGACCACTCTTCTGTCGCGAGGGTTTACTAGCAGGTGCCTGACGAGACAAATAGAAACACAAACATTTATTTAGTGAGACTGGACCAATATTTCTTTCAGCCAAAAATATGTTCTGTATAAAATGATGTGTTGAAAAGAATCACTGATGCAGCAGAGTCTCACCTGAAGTACAGTAAATGGATGAACTCTTTGAGAATGACATAAAGCTCCTCCGTGTTGATGTTGTACTGAACCACTTTGATGGCCTGCAATTGAGAGAGAAATTACCACCTGGTTGGCAATTTTCAAACATACTTTCTAATGTTTCACTTTCACAGCGGTGTCTCACCTGCTGCTGTCCTGGTTTCCGGATCTCGCTCGGAATTATGAACCTGGGCCCCGTTTCCCCTGCAAAGCCGCATCTGCAAGGAGAGGAAAACTATCAGCCAGGCTTCTGAATGATGTGCAGAGAATATTATCATTCTTTTTTATAAAATAATATATAATTAATATAATAACTAGCAAGATTAATGCTATCAGTCATATCCTTATCCAGGCTCAGACTGAAGAGTTCCATTGCCCGACAACCACAGTGTAGCTAATGTGCAAATACAAATAAACCCTTTGAATCTTGAATACAATTAAAGTGAGGCTCTGTGTGAAATGATGACAGAAAGAAATGTACTGTGTACAAAGACATGATTATGAAAAGTGTAGAAAACAGCCCTCTTGATCTTCATGTGACTTGCCTCAGGCCGGGTTTTCTTCATTATGACACATTTGCTTTAAAATTCTAGCAAGATGTTAGCATTAAAGCCATATACACTGCTAGTGTAACATATAATGATAGGCTAAGTGACTTTTAACATCAGACTACCAAGTGCTTTACAAGTAATGTAGGTCACTCAAAGAACTGTCAACAAGGGGCCGTGTTTTCACCTCACATTGGAAAAATGACAGGACCTTTGTCACTGCGGTCAAGCCAGCCTCCACTCGGGAAAACCTAGTCAAGCCAGCCCTCACGTGATATTGCGGTGCGCGAATATCCTATGCATTACGGTAGAGTAAAAAAAAATCATCCCCCTGTGTTTAGATGAGAATAAAACAAAAACTGTCCAGTATCAAAGACTCATTTCACTTCAGGGTGATAGCAGGACATCCCATCTAGTCACTCAGAAAAAATCAGGACATTCTGATGTAGAGTTTCAAAATAAAAGACCTTTGAAATCTCTATTGTATGAGTTATCATCCCTGTTTTTAGATGAGAATAAAACAAAAACTGTCCAGTATCAAAGACTCATTTCACTCCAGGGTGATAGCAGGACACCCCATCTAGTCACTCAGAAAAAATCAGGATATTCTGATGTACAGTTTCAAAATAAAAGACCTTTGAAGTCTCATATATGAGCTATCATCCCTGTTTTTAGATGAGAATAAAACAAAAACTGTCCAGTATCAAAGACTCATTTCACTCCAGGGTGATAGCAGGACACCCCATCTAGTCACTCAGAAAAAATCAGGATATTCTGATGTACAGTTTCAAAATAAAAGACCTTTGAAGTCTCATATATGAGCTATCATCCCTGTTTTTAGATGAGAATAAAACAAAAACTGTCCAGTATCATAGATCCATCTCACTCCAGGGTGATAGCAGGACACCTCATGTAGTCACTCAGAAAAAGTCAGGACATTCTGATGTACAGTTTCAAAATATGTTGCACCGAGCTGTCTATAATGCAACTGTCGTTCAGTACAGTTGTCTTTGTTTACTTATTGGATTTTATCTTAGCTTTAATTTGACATTAGCTAAAGCTAGCTAAACACTGACAGGTCTAGTAAGCATTAGCTTTCAAGCTAACGCTACAGCATGGTTGGTTTGTGTGTGAGGTGCATAGGCCATTAGTGCCGAAACACAATTAAAAAAGTAAGGTAAGAAATACAAATATATACGCTAGCATAATATGCTATTGGCTCTGTTAACAAGGGGTGCTAACGGCTGATACTCACTTTGTGTATGCTGCTCCTAAGTCAATGACGATGGCAGTCTTCTCTCCTCCGCTTCCCAAACCATCAAATAAGGGCATTTTATTAATTTAATGAATAATGTCAGTGCTCAGATGTTTCAGTCGAAAATTAGCATCGTATGAAAAGGATGAAAAATCTGTTGTCTTCCGGTTGGGCTGGGTGGGGTCTTAAAAAACGCGAAGACGTCACCTGGATTGCCTGATCAAAATGTGCTCAAAGTGAGGTTGATGAAAACTTTGTATTCAACTATTAAATTAAAAATGAGTACGTCATAAGCAGCAACATATACAAAAAAGGGAAAAAACGTTAGAAATAGTATTCAGACAAGTTCAGGGTGTATTTGATATTAGCTTACAACATTGTAATATTTGTATGCAGGCCTAATGCAGAAGCAATCCTGTAAATGTGGATTGCAAATATATTATAATAACAATTAACAACATTTATACGTCTGAGAGTATATATTCTTTTGTTATTTAGCGTTTATAGCATAATTATTAGTTCACAATATTTCCAATGCTATGGCTATGGTGCTCACGAATAAATGTGTTAAATATACTGGGTCATTATTGCAAAAATAACGTTCATTTTCAAAATCTTCAAATTCAGCAAGATATATTATATTGGTTGTATATTGTTTAAAATACACAGAATAAGAAACTGACTGTTCTCTTCCTCTGGTCTCCACTGCTCTCTGTTTACAACGACCTTTGACTTTGACAGCACCATAGCTCTTCATATAACCTTTTTTTGGAAGAAAACATAAACTTCTGATTATCGAGGAATTAGACGCATTCAATGCAATTAGCTCGATTATCATAAAACAGACGCCAAAGCTGCCACTTTGGGTGAATCCTGCAGATCTGAAGCATTTGGTGGCAGCACTTCAGAAGCAGGAGAACATAACGGAGAGAAGACTGAGACTTTCTGTCAGTGACGCCGAGCTGCTCAACAACAAGCCTCTCAATCCACCCTCACTATCCTGAATCTGTGTCCGTGCGAACTGCATTATTTCCTGCAAACTGCAAGAGAAACTCCTCCAGGCACCGCGAACATGAACTCTGGAAGGTATTTATTTTTAGCCTTACACGACTTTAATGTGCATTCTCTCGCATTGCCTCAAAATGACGCGATTTAAAGGAATGCATGCATGTTGCATGTTAGCTCCGGTGATTCAACAGCGCATTGTGAATCTGTTTATACTCTCGCTATATGTGCACTGCATGAGCTGTTAAACGGTATTGATCACAGGGGAGGTGCGCATGCAGAACAGTGGGTTGCATTTGTGGACAGTGTATCATCAGGGCTCGGATGATTGTTTGTGTTTCTCCGGCAACATGAAAGGGTGTCACCCTGTGAACACCAGACGTGTCGTGTATTTCTCTACAGCAGGCACGAATTGATTATTGGGTGATAATTGCTGCCTCCTCATGTGAAGCAACACATGCTCCAGTTAGCCGTTTTAATCCAATGTGCATATATCCTGCAAACCGAGAGGTCTGTTTAATGGATCCTTCTGTAGAGGATCTTAGAAAACCTGGTGCTATTTATAGGTGAAATGCAGGGGGGTGCTAAGGATTGCTGTGTCAGACTCTTTCTGTCACCCTCCACCTGTGAGTGTAGCATTTCCTTCTGTTTACACAAAGTGAGCAGAAGAGTCTGAGATGAAAAGGAATTTCATCCAAATGATTCCAAAACGGTGCAGCATCAAAGTAAAGGCTGACAGTTAATCCTGTTCTCTTTGGTAACTACAGGCTATATGAAATTCTGAATAAAATGTTATATCATTTGTATGCTGGTTCTTTAATCTGCACCCTGTCACCTATTTTCCTTCACGCCACCTCTGCTTTCTCTTTCTGTCCACATGTCTACAGCTGGGTGGCAAGGCGTTGAAGTGACAGTCAGACGCTGTTCACACCTAGCATTTGCGTCCACTCTCAGCAGGCACTGAGACGAGACAGAGATGCTGATGTCTGGGACGCTCCCTCGCCTCCTCCTGGCGGGCACCTGTCTCTGTGTCTACGGGACCCCCGTCCACCTCCAGAGCTACACCAGCGACTGTGACGGAAAGTGTGGCAGCTCGGCAACATTCGTTGTATCAACGCACGCCACAGATAAAGAGCGCACACAACATGTGACTGGCCTGGTTTTAAATGTAGAAGGAGGCGCTGGCCCACATGCACGACCTGAGCGGAGAGCTTCGGTGACGCAGACTGAAAACGGGGACAGCCTCGATGGAAGATCTGGGCCGAGCGAGGCTGGAGGAGAGGCACGAATCCAAAGGAGCAGGGTAAAGAAGGGGGACGGGAGCAGACAGTCGGCTTCAGGGCTGTCTGCTGATCCACACGGTGGGAAGGTGCCTGTGTCCGATCCCACAGGTGGGACGGAGCAGGTGGACTCAGCAGTGAGGTCAGCAAGGTCGACTCCAGATGGATTTTCATCCTCCTTCACAACGCCATCACAGCTGGGCATCACATCCAGGCAGGTCAGAGACCAAAGTGAGGAGGACTGGTCCAAAGTACCCGGTGATTCTCTGGAGGACTCGGAAACAAGATTGCCATCCTCTACAGAACCTCCAAACTCTGGATTATGGATCCAGAAACTGACCTCCCGCAGTCCCATCCCTCCCTCTGTCTTTGCCTCCCCTCAAACCTACACACATTTGTCAATTTGGGGTCATAATGGAGCTACAATGTCCTCCCTTCCAGACCCCTTGTTACCTGAACTGGGACCAAACCTGATGCCCAGAGAGGATGGACCTGAGAGCCTGTGGACTGAGGCGGCAAGGCCCGGGGATGGTAAGTGTGAAATATTAGAAAAGCCTCATTAATGTTGATGTGAAATTGACTTTTTTGGAGGGCAAAGCTTTCTGTTCTATTATTCAAATTGGGTGCACAAGGACACAAACTCCTAAGTTGAATTGAATGCTCTGCAGTCATTGTCTGACTTTCTTCCACAGCAAGTTTTATTTCCTGGCTTTGCTGCAGTTTGCGAGGTTTCAGGAGGATTCATTCAAGCGGAAATTAAAACGACACATCTCGTGGCAAAGATTGCCTTTGATGATTGGCGAAGAAAGGCGCCCCGGGTTTTCCATGCTCCACTTTGAACCCCAGCTGGGACCCGTGGCAAACTAATTACTTTCTATTCCTGACTCGAGCCTGGAAACAAAAAAACAGAACACACACAACATGAAAGGGCTGGTGCCAGGGTGTGTTATACAAGTCTTAGGAGGATTCACCACTCTCTCTCTCTCTATCTGTTTACCCCCTCGAACCTCCGCTCTTTCTCCCCCCCCCTTCACACTCCCCCATCCAGGCTATTGTAGAGAAACAGGCAGGTTATTATTCATGGAGGCAGAATAGGGAAATGGATTAAAAGAGTCTGTCTGAGCCAATATGTGTTCCTTCCGTCCATTCGGGGATCGGATGTTTGATGAAGCTTCCTCCCAACAGAGAGGAAGCTGACACAAAAAAAACTCAATTCCCAAAACAGCGTTATGTAAAAGGATTGCGGTCTTTATAAGCATTTTTCAGCCTACTTAAGAAACACTTTAGACTAAAGGAAATGTCTGAGAGATATGCGGTAGCAGTTTCTCCTGTGACAGCTCCCTCTCTGTGGTCGTCTCAGAGAGAACGGTTATATTCTCCTTTCATTGTGTCTTAGCTGCACTGTTAACTCAAATGCAAGTGCTTTCTAATGAGAAAACCACATGACCAGGAGCTTCATTCTGTCATTAATACTTCAGTGCTGCTATGTGTGCTGAATACACTTTAGAAAATACATGTATTTATTTGAGCTGTCAGCTTTGTAAAGAAACTCATTCAGGTGGCCTACTTTTCTCACTGAATTGAGCATAATCACAAAAACATAGACTTTCAGACGACTGCTGTGTTTGACTGACTTTTACCAGAAGGTCCAAACAAATATGCTCTTTCTATTTAGATTTAGATCCCCATTTCACTCAATACAATAAAGGCACTGCCCCAAGAAAAAGGGGATCTTATGATACAGTGTTCACTGCCTTAGTTTCCATAGCTTTTATAAATCTTAACAAGGATTAAATATCCTCATTAAAGAGAACCGTGTTACCTCTAGTGACTGTATGAGGGGCAAAGGAACACACAATGGAGTTTATTCCGAACAACACCATCAATAAGATCACAAATAATAAATAAACCATTGTCCTCAGGAAAACCTCAATTTCTATCTATCTTTCCAAGGCAAGGCAAGTTTATTTATATAGCACCTTTCAACACAAGGCAATTCAAAGTGCTTTTCAAAAATGAAAGACATTAAGATAATGGCATTTAAAAACAGTCATTAAAAAGCAAAGATAATAAAAGAAACATTAAAAGAAAAAATACATGGATAAAAGTTACAGTGCAGTTTAAGATGTGAATAGTTCAATTAAAAGCAGCAGCAAAAATACAAGTCTTCAGCCTGGATTTAAAAGTAGTCAGAGTTGCAGCGGACCGGCAGGTTTCTGGGAGCTTGTTCCAGAAATGTGGAGCATAATAACTAAACGCTGCTTCCCCATGTTTAGTTCTGACTCTGGGGACAGAAAGCTGACCAGTCCCTGAAGACCTGAGAGTTCTGGGTGGTTCATCATTTAGCAGGAGGTCAGAAATGTATTTTGGGCCTAAACCATTCAATGCTTTATAAACCAGCAACAATATTTTTAAATCTATTCTTTGACTGTGTCACAGGAAGCCAGTGTAAAGACTTCAGAACAGGAGTGATGTGATCCACTTTCTTAGTGTCATTGAGGACTCGAGCAGCAGCGTTCTGAATCAGCTGCAGCTTTCTAATAGATTTTTTAGGGAGACCTGTGAAGACACCATTGCAGTAGTCCAGTCTACTAAAGATAAAAGCATGGACAAGTTTTTCCAAATCCTGCTGTGACATTAAGTCTTTTAATCCTAGATATGTTAGGCAATAGTAAGCTGATTTAGTAACTGTTTTAATGTGACTGTTGAAACTCAGGTCGGAGTCCATGACTACACCTAGATTTCTGGCTTTATCTGTTGTTTTGAACATTGCAGGCTAAAGCTCAGCGCTAACTTTTATACGTTCTGCCTTGGCTCCAAAAACCATTACCTCAGTTTTGTCTTTGTTTAATTGGAGAAAGTTCTGACACATCCAGTCATGCACCTTGCACCTGAACATATCCTGACCCTCATTCTGTCTTTCTTGTGTTTACAGTGGACACTGTGGTCCCGCCCTCTGAGGACGAGGCCACTGAGGGCACCATGTCTTCAGAGGCTCTCCCCCTCATCTTCGAGCCTTTCGAAGATGTGACAGCGGAGGGGGGGGCAGCAGAGGCCGTGGCAGCGGTCACCGCGGTGCCCGGCAGCGCTCAGCCTCCTGCTGCCATGGCGACAGGAGGAATGCATCAGGTGGATCTGGACCAGTTGGTCACCGTGGAGACAGACAGCGACGGTCCCTCACACGCCCTGCCACTGCTGATGCCAGACTGGACGTCATCGTGGCAGGCGTCCGGCGGGGAGCTGCTGGAGCCAATCGGATCATTGGGACCGTCTGTCTCAGAGCGGAGGGGCGGAGCCGAGGATCAAACTGAGAGAGGTGATGTGGCAGCATGGATGAATGAATGTCAACACAAGGAGCTTTTTTTCCTACAAGTCACATATACTTCACATTAGTGTCAACCATTTTTCAAAGAACAGTATGGGTCATTGTGTAAATGTGATGGAGCAACTAATTCCAGGAACTGTTTTTTCAAATATCTTGCTGAATTTTAGTTTTTTTATTTCATTTTTTATTCAACCTTTATTTACTAATACTAATCATTATAACTCATTCTTATGTGCCTTTTGTCCTGCAGGGGTTGTTGCATTTTAACATAGAATTATGGGGCAACAGTACACCTTGCTTGTGCATCAACATTATTTTGAAAAAGAAAAGTAATAGTAAATATATTTTGTTGTTGAAGTTATTAAAATATGTTTTCCCCCTCTAGGCAACCTCTGGCCTGAATTTATGTGATCTCGAAGAGACTTGATTTAGCTTGAGAATGTATTTCTCAGACAGTTAATTTCGTTAAATCACTGAAACAGAAGAAATACTGCACATGCAATATAACTTATAAGGCATCTTGTACTACAGATTATTAGATGTTAAAATAGCTGTAACAAAGTGTATGCGTGTGCGTGTGTGTGTGTGTGTGTTCGGGCCACGTGCTTCCCGGCGTGTAGGTGATGTGAGGACAGCAAACCTTGAGGAGAACTTGCCCACCACCGACCCCTCCTTCTCATCCCTCCAGCATGCTATGACAACGGTATCCATGGCAACCCATCATCCGGTGCACAAATCCAGATCAGGGTTAGAGGAGATGGAGTCTGAGGGTAAGACAAGTTGTAATGCCATCTGCAAAAAAACAATTTAATTAAAGGGCCCATGTCATGGCCTTTTCTACTGATCATAATTACATTGTTGAGGTCTACTAAAATAGATTTATACCGTGCAATTTTCCAAACTCACATTGGTTTCTCATACAGCATCTCTGTAAAGTATGTTCTCCTGCCCCCCCTCCCTGTGAGCCCAGTGTGCTCTGATTGGTCGGGACGTTGAGAGGCTCGTTGCTGCGATCTGCTGCGAGGAGCGGACAGGGTTCCGGGTCGGCGATACAGCGAGAACAAGCGAAACTCATCCTGAGCACACACAAACACTCACAGCCGAAGTAAAAACAATAAGTGTGGCTTGATATTGAGTAAGAAAAAGGTTTATAACGCTGTGAGCATGGGTCTGTGGAGAGCATTTCTCCGCGATCCCAACTTAGCAGCCCGAAAAACGTTTACCCATTTAAACAGTCGTGGTACTGTAGATACCTTGTTTGTTTTAAACATCATAAATACACAAACAACAATGAATACTTACAGGTTGTGTATAACCGAATCTCCCGCTGGTCCAAACAAAGTAGGAACAGCATCGTTCTTCAGTGTCTTACGCTGTACATATCCGGCATGAATCGCTGAAAGGTTTGGGAAGCTTTGTTTTCGTGAAATGCTGGCAGAGGGTGTGACCTCTGGGTATTCACACGTCACAGTACCCAGGAAGTAAACAATGGAAAATGAGAAATCTCCAACGAGGCGTTTTGGGGCAGGATAGACTGTGTTAGAGTTTTACTCGCTACAGGGTGTACTTTGAGGGTTTGTGACTGCAAGGCACACAGGGGATAGTGTACTTTGAGGGTTTGTGACTCTGCAGACCGTTTACATGCATAAAAACCTTCATAACACACAAGGGGACGGGTAATAATCGGAAAAGCATGACATGGGCCCTTTAAAAAGAAATAGGGTTTTCAATGTCATCCTTTTTCGTGGCCAATGAGTAACTATTTTTTGTTATCTCACAGAGGAGACAGATGAAGAGGATGAGGATGAGAACTCTGAGGAATCGATCGAGGATGACAGCAAGGAGGACCTAACAGAGACACCTAAAACCTTCTCAACGAGGCTTCCCTACAGCCTCATCCCTCCACCTCCTCTCTGGGTCCAACGGAACCAGGGGCTGAGTAAGAGAACATGGTTTCTAAATCATCTTTACATAAGCTATGGAAATAACAGAACATATTCAATGGTTATACCTTCACTTGCAGTCATCACAATCATTTAAAAATACATTTATGAAAAATAACAAGTGCTATATCTGTCTCATTTCTCACAGTGCGGAGCTGGTTAGAGTTGATCAGAGAAAAGGTAAGACTGCCCCCTGCTGCCGCTAAAAAGTCTTGGTCGTCCATCAAAACAATTCTGTTTTATTCGCTCCATTATATGTGCTGTTATGGATAAATCTGGTAATATTCTCTACCTTTACAGTTGTATATGTTAGGGGATCTTTTTTGATTTGAGTTTATAGAGAAGGATTGCCAGGATTTGTTTACAATTCCGTTTATCAATTTTGTCTTTATGCTCTGCAGGCAGGTTATGTGTCCGGGATGTTGGCCCCTGTGGGCATAGGCATCACTGGGGCCCTGTTAATCGTCTGCGCCCTCTACAGCATCAGGATGATTCACAGCTTCAAACACCAGAGGAGGAAGGTCAGGCAGCAAGAGGTCAGTTCCACCAACAACCTAAGTTCATTGAACTTACTAAAGCCATTAGTGGAAATGACTGACAGTGAAACAACCAAAGTAGCTTAACCTTGGAAAACAAAATGCTATGTGCCATGTCACCTGTGTTTCCTGGAAAACAGAAACGTTGCTACAGCAGCAAAACAATAATACTTGTGCTTATTGAAGTGGAACAAATATTACATGTAGGCTACTCCCCTAAATCACTTCTTATTAATCTATATTTCTCTTACAGCAGTTTTTTGGGGGGTCTTTTATAGATAGATTTACGGTGTAAAAGAGTAGCGTAATGTGTGCCTAGCAAGTGTTTGGTGTGACAAAGTGATGGTGATTGGGCTCAGAGCATACAGGCAGCGCGTGAGACGTGTGCTTGTGGTTTACTTAAGTAAAAACTCACTTCAACACCGACCACTTGCAAGCTCTAGGGAAGAAATGTTGTCTATGCAACTTTTAATTTTCATTTAAACTCCACAGCAACCTCGAGAGCCGGGGACCAGCCGTCAGGACCAGGCCATGCTGCTGGCTGACAGCTCTGAAGATGAGTTCTGATGAGACCCTGCTGGGCTCTTTTTGTCGGTGACCAATAGCTGATGCTCCTGTAATGGAGGCTCAGCAAACAACCCCATCACTATGACTACAGAATCTCCCATCACCCTGGGCTGTTTGGCTATGACTCATCTGATCCACAGAGTGTGACTGAGTAGAGGACACAATTTGCACAGGCTGCACAAAGTTCCGCTTTGTATCCCACCACTTCTAAAAGAACCAATGTGAGCACTTTTCTGAATGTTGTCAGGTGATGTTGACTCTAATGGCTTGGCAAGGCAGGCGTGATGTACTTCAACATAAAAGATTATATTGATGGTTCTAAAAAAATGTGTCAGCAGGGTAATGGCAGGATTAAAGTGTTGCTGATAAATCTTTGGAGTTGAGAGGCAAAGTGTGGACCAGCAGTATGTCTTTCAAGCAGTAAAAAAGGGCTGTAGAAGAGATGCATCACATCAACAATGTAGGCCTACATATATTTGCTGTATATGTAACTGACTTGTGGTCAGTTGTTTGAGTGTAAATACATTTTTATTTCTTGCTAAATGTGGATATTTATATTATTCAACAGTTTGTTTAATATGCGTATTTGTTTTTTTTGCCAATAGTTAGATGACAAGAATGATAGCACTCTTAAATCTAACAGTTAGCTGGAGCTAGCCGGTTAGCCTAGCATGAAGAATGGAGGGAAACAGCTAGCTTTGCCCCTGTTCAACAAACTAAACCTTTTAAAACTAATTTTGGTTTGTTTAACACTTATCAGAAAATAAGTGTTAAATTGATAAGTCGCTGTTTGACAGTGGAAACTTGTCAAACATGTATTCGGCTTAGAGCAGTGACTGCCTGGAGTCTAGTTACCTTACAACTGCTAGCTGCTAACCGGTATCCAGATTGTATAACATTTCAACAGAACCAGGCTTGCTGTTTCCAGCTTTCATGCTAAATTTACCAATTCCTGGCTGAAACATAGCCTCATATTTAACACATTGGTAACTAAATTCTCATCAAACTATATAAAAAAAAATGAATAAGCATGTTTCCCAAAATGTTTGAGTATTGCCTTAAACCAAATTTCCCACACATTTCAGATACCTTTACATATAATTAATTGCTTCATTTAAATGTACATTTTCTGGATTTTTTTAAATCTATTGTTCAAAAGCATTTGTGCACGCGTGCGCACACACACACCTAATTTTAACATCTAATAATCTGTAGTACACGATACCATTGTCCCTCAAAAATGTGAAGCATAAAAAATTTTATGTAGGCTACCTCCCCCCATCAATATGAATTAATCGTTTTGCAATTTGCAAAAAGTGTTTTTAAGTGCATGACTATTAAGTCTGTTCATACCTATGGTTCATACACAGCCCTGTTACAGTGACTTTAATTATAATGAATGAAGGGTTTATGTTGGCTGGCAAAGCACAAACATTGAAGACATTGGGGCAGAAGTTCATATTTTCACAAGTTAATCAAAAGATGATTTTTCAGTACTTTTGTGTGGTTATCTGCTTCAGAGAAGGGCAGACCAAGACATTTAGGCAAACATGTCTGCCCCATGAATTTTAGATTTCTGTAATCAACTATATAAGCAAATACAGTTCTTGAGTTTGGAAGAAAATAGGAAATTGTTAATAAAAAACCTTTCTACTATAGTTCAGACAGTACGTATTTCAAAACACTCATCCGAGCAATGTTTTTCCACAACATTAATACATAGTGCTGTCTTTTGTTCAAAGGGAAAATATTTTCAGTGATTTCAGTCCTCTGATATGCTTAATGTACAACTGCCTGTTAATATGCAATAATACTGTTTTAGGGTAAGTGTGATGTAAAATAGTGGACACTTTTTTCTCTGTGTAAATAATTCAACATGATGTGATCAAATAAGCAATTCTTTAAGATGTCTTATTTCAACTCTCTTATGATGTAGCTAAAGTGTGAACTATGTTTTACATGGAAACCACTTCAGACAGCAGACATGACCCAGTTTACAGCATTAAAAAAATCAAATAATTTATTTCTGTGTTCTTTTTCCACATTAAATAAAAGCTATCGGACATTTCCAGATCAAAATCAAGAGAGGGGACAGGGAAGAGGAACTGGGGGAACAGAAATCTGACATGCAAAAAAACCTTTTGTTCTCCCCTTTGCACACTCCGTAGATGGCGTTGGAGGCGTAGCTGGCCGCCCCGAAAAGACTGCAGGAAGCCCCTGTGGTTGCTTGGTTGGTTGGTTGCAGGAACACAGCTTTTTGTGGTGAAGCATGACAGCCAAGACACATTTTCTTTATCCGACCCGCAAACTGGTTACTGGGAAATGTATAATTGTAACACTAGAAATGTAGGATAGGCAGATGTCGCCCCAGGTGAGCACAGATAATTGGGCGTGTGATTGTTAGATTAAGCTACCTGAAAAGCACAGCGGACATCCAGGAGGAGTAAAGAAAACTGCCTCTGACATCTGTGAACACTGAACCGACATTGTAAAGTCAAAAACTTTTTTTCAAAATGTATTTTCATTAAAACACAGCAGGCCTGATATTGATGACGAAGCCCTTCAGTCTGTGATGAGCTAAACTGAGCGCTTTGGCTCTTTGTGACAGGCTGTAATGCCCATATGGAACTGCCAGAGTTTCGCAGGAGTAAAGCAAAACAAAAAAAAGTTAACACTTTTCCTTCGACATCTAAAACATCTCCTCGTACTGACAGCTGGTTTTAAGAACAGACAGGTTCCTTTTGTACCTATCATGTCCCTTCGTCTATCAGTAGTCACTGTATAAAAGAAGAGAAAGGGCCAGGGAAGTGAGAGAACACGAGGGGAGACAAATGTCCAACACAGGGACACGTTATACCTCCAAAATAAACCAGGAGTTTACACAGGGTGATCATTTAAATTTAAAGAATGTCAGATGAGCAGTAAAGATAATAGTTTGTGTTCACGGTGTAGAGCGTTTTTTTGTATGCCCACTGTGAATTGCTCATAGTCCTCGTTAAGCCTCTGGATGGGCTAAAGTAGCACAGAAATTAAAATCACAATCTGATAAATCAACCCAAACCGCCCCCTTCCCAACAGATGATTCACCCAAAAAAAAAAAAACATGCTCTCAATATATCCGAGGAATAGAACGACACTCGTATACAAATCTGAAAAACAAACAAAAATAGGTCATCTGATCTGTTGTTCCAAATGCACAGACACAAACGTACATACACAGGCTGTTATGGGGGTGGCGACTCTGTAAACATATACTTCAGTCTGAAGGAAAATAATCGCGAAATATGAACACGGTCCTGTAGTGTCATTCATTGAGACTAGCTATCAAATCATTTATACATCCGACTACCACAAATGTTTGCTGGAGACTTTGATCTGTATTCAATATTTTGGAGCAGATTGGACTCTGATTGTGCCCCGAGGCAGTGTCCTGCATTGAATATTGTAGGCAGCATAAAAGCATGCAGATGTCCGATTGCATAATTTGATGTTTTCTTACTTTAAAAACTTGTAACGCGGGTTGTTTTCCAAAAGATCTAAGCTAATTTAGGGTTTATCCTCCCTTCAACCAAACAGTCTCCAGTCTTTCCACCACATTGAGCACTTACTCGTATCCTTGAAAGTAAAAAAAAGTCTGCCTTTTTTTACTTTCCTGTTGTCCTTGAAACAAAACACAGCAGCAAAGGCTCTGATTTGGAAAGTAGAGAAATAAAAGTCTAACAGAACCACGCCATTGTCAAAATAACAGGACACACACAAGACACATTCGTACTACGTACACATACACACTGCAGCAATTTCCAAAGAAGTGCATCTGACCTTTGTTCATATTTACTTTTAAGAAAAGAAAAAACACAAAAGCGGATGAAGCCAACTGTCTTAATTAGTGTGGATTGGAGCGTCCTGGTGAAACTAAGTCTCAGGTCGGAGATCTTAAATGTTAGCGAGGTTGGTTGTGCATCGAGTTAGAGCACCTGGTGCATTGAGGACTCAGCTGCTGATGAGCAGCGCGAGGTTAAACAGGTGTACGCTAGACAATCTAAACAAACTGAAAGCAAACATAGAATAAAATATAATCTGCTAAGAATACTTGTCTATTTTCCTTTTCTTTTTTTTGTATCGAGAGATAAACACAAAGCATACTCATGCATTCCAGCATATGTAACACTTCGCCTCCGGTCTGGTGCCGAGTGCAGACGCAGAAGTGTTGAGGCTGAGTGTGTGATGCCTGTTAGCAGGCTTAGCTGAGGCTGAGAGTGCTGATGGATTGAGTGGCACTTGCAACAAGGAGGAACAGACGGATATCATCTTTAAAAAGGAGTCAACTGAGACGGCTCTTTTTCAAAGACTCCTTTTGGGGGATTTTGCAGCAGCTGGCAGTGCATTTAGGGGAAACAAGTTATGTTCTAATAGGAAGAAAAAATCTAAATTCCTCACCTATACAGTCAGGTTTGATAGAAGCAAAAACTGTAGCAAATTCACCAGTTGGGAAAAGTTTGAGGTGCTAATGGAGTGATTTGTTTCGATCAACTGCTCTGCAGCAACATACTTACACCAAACACAGGAAGGGGGTTCGGTGGGTTTAGCTCAAACTGGGTAAATCAACACACACTCTTCACACTTTTTCCGCCGCACTCACTTTAAAATAAATGCATGCATATCTTTACAGGCTTCAGTCCAGGGGGCTGAGGCAGGTGATGGGAACAAAAAACCAGAACGCACAGTTCTAACCGAAGCATGCGCTCACAGTCACACAACACGGTCACTTGCTCACTGTGAAACCACACATGAAAACAAGCCAAACACTCCAAAAGAAAAAAACACGAGGCGGTACAAAAACACAGTCATACTATAGCTTTTACCCCGTCCAACTCACAAGGTTAAAAAAGAAACACAAAAAGAAACTCAAACAAATATTTTCTTTTGCCAGTCTGTTTTTCACCACCCCGTTTCCTGGTGTCACTTGTTGTTGTTTACTTTGAAGTCTGCGTTTGTCCCGTGTTCAGTAGGAGGATCTGCTGCGGTGCAGTGTCCTATTGAGGGTTCGGACGAATGTCCTCACTTCAGCTGCCTCGCAACCCGGTTCATAGCATCCAAGCTTGAAGGTCAAAAGGTCACCCTCGCTCACCGCCCCTCCTCTGGCCCATTAGGTGGGATGTCAATCGGGTTCGCCCTCGACAGCGGTTGTTCGGAGGTCAAGGACAAAAAGAGGGTGTTTCTGCGTGTCTATGCATACCTATGTGCAAAATGTTGTACACAGGTGTGTGTGTGTGTGTGTGTGAAGTGTGTATAAGAGTGAAATGACCAGGGCAGAGCTGAGGCTGTTGAGCCGATAGCGTACGAGCTGTCCCGTCCTCCCCTGTCCCCTCCTCTTTCCTCTAGCGGAGCCACAGTTTGAGCCGCAGCGCGTCCACTCCGTTTAGGTAGTATCTGAACAGCCGCTTGTCTCTGACAAAACCCAAGTTCTCGTACAGCTTCAGGGCTGATTTGTTGGTGATTTCAGTCTCCAAAACAACCTGGGGACACACAGAGGGCCATAGAGACACATTATAGTAACCGGGTAAAAAATATATGTCAGATAGTCATAATTAAACCTGCAACCAACAATCATTTTTTGTAAGTGATGAATCTGCTGATTCATTTCTATATGTGGTGATTACTCGTCTGTTCTAAAAAATGCCAGAAAATTGTGAAAAATGTCCATCTCAGTTTACCAAAGTCTAAGGCGAGGTCTTTAAATGTCTTATTTCTGTTGTCAGTCAAAAACCCAAAATATTAATGTTAAAGCTAATGTGGGCAAGAATTTTTTTTGTCAAATTTGTCTAAATATTCTGTAAATCTAAGCGCAATCACTATATCAAATGTGTTAAAAGGGTCCTATTATACTCACATCAGGTTCTAAATTGTATGTAATGTTTAAAAAAGGTATTTATTTTTCTCATGTTGCCTGTGCTGCAGCACATTTAGCTTTTGCAGACTTTTAACATTCACAAAAACCTTTATAACACACTACAGGAAAGGTAAAAAAGCCCCAAAAAGCCCAATAGGGCCTCTTTAAGTTGAAGTAATAAGTCAAAGTTAAAGTCATTAGAGTATTTTCTTTCCTTCCAAACATATAGTAGTTTCGATTTTCAAAGTGATCTCCACCTACAGTAACATTTTGTCAAAGATATGTTATAATAACATTGTAATGCATTTGCAAGAGGGGATGGGTAAGCCATCTTTTTCTGTATGTGCGTTGTAAAGGTTTGCTGTCAACATCATAGCATTTACAAGCAAAGCAGTTTGGAAATTAAGCTCAAATTTTATTTGGTAGTGTAATATATTTGCCTATGAGCACTTAAGAGCAAGAACAAAGCCTCAAACCAATGGAGCCTCGCTGGGAGGTTAAACCTGCTAGGCTCCATGGGTCAGTCTTTAAAAATGCATGGTATGTAGGTGACAGTAGTGTGAATTGATGCACTTTAGTCAGTGATAAGGAAACCTCTCAAACCATCAGTTCCTGTATGTCTCTTTTGTCTTATTGGGATCTATACAGATAAAAACCTGCTGATACACAAGCACCAAAGCTGAGAAAATTGCAGCTTGTAACCCAGGCAAAGCGGTTGCAGTTGCTTGATAGACGAAAAAATACTTTTCTATAAAAGTGTGTACTCTTAGTACCCCTTGTGTTTACACTGACACAAAAATCATCACTGTGGTGAATTATCATCAGTGCTTTGGTCTCAGCTTACAAAGAGATCAGGGTAAGTTTAATACAGAGTCTCATTTCCATTTCAAACACATGCCATTTCTGGAGACTTCACTTGTTTTGTATGCGTCTGTAAGAGGCAGTGAGTCAGTATTTAGAGAGAAGCAGAGCAAAATGGAAGTTACCGAAGGGATCAGAGTAGCTAAAAGACAATCCAAGGTTACCAACTTAAAGGAGTGAAGGACGGGGAAAGAAAAACTAGTCCTTGAAAAACGAGAAGCCAACTTTTCTTTCGGTTTATGCTTGCATAGAGGCTTTGGAGGCAAACAAAAACAAAAAAGGTCCACATGGTTGTATTTAGTGATTATTAAATCTTTGGTTGTTCAATGTATTAATTGCATTTTCTGTAAATCTGGTTTGGTAAATGCCAGACTGTCCTCTAGCACAGAGCTTCCCAAACTGGGTGTCGCCAAAGCTTACAGGGGGATGTGAGAAATTGTTGATTACTTAAAATAACATGAAATCTGATCTGATGCAATTTTCACAGGAAGAATTGTACTTAAAATCCAAATTACTCGTTTAACACAAACTACCTGAAGCTTTGGATTAACTGTACAGTTGAATATAATATACATTTCTATAAAGTCTGTCACCCAAAGCCTTAGCCATGGGACTTTACTCACTGACAGAAAAGGGGTCCCTTTAGATGAAAAGGTTGAGAACCAATGCTCTAGTCATGTAACACTGAGTGAAAACACTGAGACAGAATTTGAACCTGTGCCAATGTGAGACATCAAGCCTGCGCATGTCAGACCAAAGTCTGTTTCAAGCTATTTTCATAATATTTTCTGGATGTTGTATATGGTTGGGAAAAAAGAAAGACATGTCAATTCATAGAGACTTCCTCCACTGAGAATGGTTTAATATGTCTTACCTCGTCACAGTCACCCTCCACCATGGCATAGATGGCCTTCTTCACCAGATTAGTACCTTAAACAAAGGAGTCAAAGTCAGTTAGGACACGCAACAAACACAAAGTTTCAAGAAAACACAAACATTTTTATCTGGCTTGACATCTGGTAGTATAAGAGGGTCAAAAGGTAAAAATGTCCCTTGAGGTTAAAGTATAGTGCACCTCAACTACCTATCTAAATAGTGCATTTGCATCAGAGGATTTGGTGGTCAAAGAATGCACAAAAGAGGCTATGGTACAGCTTGTTCTCGGCTCCGCAATGTAAAAGTAAAGACTTTTATTTTATTATGTTTGTGCCACGCAGAGTCCAAATCTTACCGATGCTTTTCCTTCTGTGTTTGGAGTCCACGGCCAGCATGGCGATGTAGCCACGACGGAACATCTTCTTGTGCATGTCAAGCTTACATACGATGGCTCCGACACACTCCTGCTCCACCATGGCCTGTGACAGACAAACACAAAAGTCACATCCATAGTTGATGAAAGCCAAGCAATAATTCCTGTCCTCTTGCCAGTTCTGCTGGTTCCCTGATCTGACCTTTGACCTGTTTTTCAAGGCACTTCCTCTTGTGTTACATGTTTCGTTCCGGACAAACTGGAACTGGGAAGTTTACGACCTTGACGCTCAGAGGATAAACAAAGAATGGACAGTGTTTGGCACGAACAAAAACCTGACTGGACATGGTAGGCGGGAGAGAAAACACCTACGTAAAGCATATTTCCCTCTACTTTAACTGAAAGGCAAGGATTTTAAACCTTTGCTTGCTCCTAAACTCACGAAGAACCTTACCCTAATGAAGATATATAAGGGATATTGTCATGTCAGTTCAAATAACCTTGAATTGACGGCTATAAATTCCAACTAACATCCATAAATCTAACAAGGATCAAGGCTTTGTGACATTAAAGTAGGTGTTGTAGCTCCGAACAGATACAATACAACTTCCAAACTAGCATGCTGTTGGTGACATGTCTACTTATGTAAAACTAGCATGCTGTTGGTGACATGTCTACTTATGTAAGTTTAAGCTTAGTGTATATCAACACTGTCTTTGGCTGCATTTGAGTCACACTGACAGGTGATGGAAAGCTATAAGTACACTATGCAGTCACGCCCAGCCCAAATAATGCTATTCACCTTTAGGTAGCCAAAGTACAAGGGATAAGAGGGTAGCTAACGCATTATTATGACAAACATTAAAGGATGAATATCAGCATTTCTTAATGTTTTAGTGTCTTTACTCACCAGAAAGCAAAGCTGCGGCCAGTTGTGAATGAAGTACCTGTAGGTGTAAATTGAATAAGGCTCAGACAAGTCCTTTGTGATCAGTCTCATGATCCACGGCATCTGCAGCTCGGACTCGTAGCGGACATAGCAGATGCCGTGGCTGTCCTCCTCCGCTCGGCCGGGGGAGCCGCTCAGGGCGAGCCGGGCGAGCTCCGCGGTCGGCGGCTGCAGCTCCTGCGGGGCGGCGTGGCTGTGCTCGGGCCCGGCGTCCGGCGGCTTGTCGCTCGGCGGTCTCGGTGGCTCCGTGAGGTCAAGCTCCTCTTTCCCTTCGTCCCCGGGGTGGCTGTGGGCCGTCTCAGTTCTTATCAAATCTGGCATCCCGTTCATGCTATTGTTAACTAGGGGCGAGTGACTGCCGTTTTTGGAGATGGGGCTGTGGCCTTCATGTTGGCAATGCTCACTATTGTTTCTCGCGGTTGAAGCCTCCTCGTTGCTACCGCTGCTGCTGCTGCTGTCACAGTTGTCCACGGACGGTCTCGGGTTGTCAGGCCGGTTTCCTGTGTGCTGGTGGCTGTCCGCGTCCTCTGAGGAGCCGGACAAGCCGTTTAGCTGCTGCTCTCGAGCTTGCATTTTGAGGTGAAGTGCCGACGGGCTAGCTCGCGCTAGCATGTTATTTTGCTTCTTATTAACCGACCTAATTACTTCGCTTAGCGGTTCTGACGTATTCCCTGTACCGGTGGGTAAACAGTCGTCTCTGTGGCAGGCCGCCTCTCCGTCTCCCCCCGCCGGCTCCGCGCTCCCAGCCCCGGGGAAAGGAGGACTCTCGGCCGGGGTTTCGGGGAGAGCGCTACTAGGCCCAGGCGGCACTGTGGCCATCCCACCGCATTAAGGTGGAGATTCTCGCTTGGAAAACGTTGAACACAAGCTCATCCACAAGGCAAAGGGATAAACAATCAATATACGAGTTAGATCACCGAATATCGCATAAATCCAAGGATATTTGAGGCGATAACGTAACCGCTGGCGACGTTTGTCGCTGCTTTCTCCTCGATTTCCCTGCTGCCGGAAAGTGCTGTCGCAGCAAACGCCATTGCAACAGCAGACAGAGACGTTTTACGACAGTGGTGTAACGCATGACAGATGCAGGATTAGCTACTGTAACACAATTAAATACATTTAACTTCCCCTCTTCTGTCGTATTGGTTTTGTTTATGTCATTTGCATTTTCGTTCTATTGCATTGACAGAACATATACAATAGTAAATCATTGGAGCAGGGTCACGATTAGGATACAGAACATGTTTTTTTATTTGATATAATGCCCTATAATATCAATTCCCCATGAAATTAAGACATATAATCTTATTTAAAACCCGGAGAAAATGGAAAATTCACAATTGATAGTGTAGTTTTCCTTCATAGAAGGCTTTTACTCAGCTAAATTATTTAATTATTTACAATTGGATGATAATTATTTTACGTTCCGTTGAAAGATATGTCAGTGCATATACTACTGTGCTGTGCTTGACCAAATTATGGGGAAATTGCTTCAACAATTAAACTGTCTAAAATGTGATTAAGGAAATTTTTTCAAAGCCCTGAAAATGTAAGAGTTGGTGAATCCTCTACTTTGTGCCAGCAGAGGACGCCAACTTCACGATTTACGTTAATGCATCATTTTCTCCCATTTGTATCAACGCTGCAATTTCTCCCCCAGATGTCGCTAGTGGATTATTTCCTTTCAGCTTTCTATGTTGTTAAACAGTAGCCTAGTCTCCACACTGTAAAGTACATGTTTGTTATAAGATCTATGCGCTTATTTCGAGTATGTATGTCTTATTTCTAAAACTCCACTAATGTCTGGAAGTAAATCATTTTAAATTCAAAACCTACCAGGCTTATCTGACTGTACCTAGAGGTATCTGCAGGTTTAGTTTTACCCCCCAATACACACAGAAACAAATCGAAACCTTTTGAGGGCATTCATTTATCATCAGTTGAGTTTATACGGTTTATACATTTCAGTTGCCCTTTCTGGCCAAGTAATTGTACATAAGTGAATACCTTTAGACATGGAGAGATGGAGAAATATTACTAGTAATAAGAAATATTAAGTAAAATAAGATATACAATTCAAATAAAAACACTTATAATATTATCAAAGAAAAAAAGAAAAGAGAGAAAATACATTTAAAGAGATACAAATATGTACAAAAAAAAAAGAAAGGAAAAAAAAACATTCGGGTGTACAGTATGTCTGTCCAGCAATAGTAAGCCTTGTGTGTCCTTCTTCCTCACTATAGATGAAAAAAAGGGGTTGATGTAAGGGGAACACGTTGGATCTTTTCAAATTACAGCTGTTTTGTATTTTCGGCAACAAAAACCTTTATTAGAAATCACAGGGAGGAAAGTTTACCTGCAGGGTTGTGTAGGCCATCCTAGGTCGGAGTGTTGCTCTGTTGTATCCTGAAGTGTGTCCATGTACTTATAGGTGAATTTAGAAAAAAGTAATTAAGTCAAATAATACTTCATTATTTCCTATTCATGCGAGATAAAACAATATGTCTAATGGACCATAGTGGGTATCACATTCTAAAAATGGATAGATAGATAGATAGATAGATAGATAGATAGATAGATATAGATGTAAAAAGTATTGATTAACCTGTGATACATCATATGGTAAGAGAGATGCTGAAAAAGACAACTTCCCCTCGATCTGTCCAACATTCCACTATCATGAACACACGTGTGTGATGATAAAGATAAATAGACAGTCCTATTGTGTTTGTCGATATATGTTACATGCAGGGAAACAGACGGAGAGATATAGACGGGGAGAGAGAGACGGCCCTTTTGAAAGCTAAGCCTTGGGGCTGAGAACTCTCTGAAGAGCTGGAATCAGACATGCACAATCAGTTTCCCTCTTCAAATCTCCTTTACAGGCCTATCTACTTGAACAGGCTTCTCTTAATTACTTTCTCTATCACTTAGCGAGCTGTGCCTGGGACTAGGAGCAGCAGCGGCGTCGTCTCCTTGCCAGAGACACTTGGCTGGTTTGAACCCATATTTATATATCTTCTTTCTCACAATCCTGTCCCGTATCTTCCTTTTCTTTCTCCCCTCCTCCTCCTCTTCCCGCTTTCTTCATCTCTTGTCTCTCAGAGGCTCTCTCCACCCTGCCTCGTACCCTTTTCCAAATATCTCCAGGGCATCAGTTGCGTCATGTGACTGGTGCGCTTGTGATTACAGAAGTTGGCAACCGTACCCATCAATGAGGAACCCAAAATATCTTGAAAAACGACAGCGTGTAAAAAAGTATAAGGTCAATTCTGGGATCAAACAACCCAGGTTGACAAGGACACCCAAACAACCTCCTTTAAATCTCTCTCCCCTTCTTCCTGTGCGACTGAACAGGTCTCCGGGGCTGCAGGCCAAGCTTTGGATCTCCTTTTTTATATTTTATTCTCCCCTTACTCCTGCCTGTCGAAATGTCTCCCTCTGCTCACTTCCCTGTGTCCTCCTCCTCCTCCTTTTTTCCTGTCTGGCGTCTGGTCCACTAGAGCTGTATTTAATTAGTTTCTGTAGGGTTAATTAGGGGCTAAAGTTAGGGGGTCGGATCAGAACAAAAGCAGGTCATGCTGGACGGATGCAGGTGCTTTGCCAGATTCCAGCGTTCAGATTAAGACGCCTGCAAATAGTCTCGAGAGAGTGAGGAATTCAAAGATTCAAATTCAGTTTTAATGTCATGTGCACATTGTTATTGGCAAGGAACGTCTCAAGTCCCAAGCTCCTCCAAGAAAATAATGCAATTGGTGACCGGTGAATGGCAGCAAAAGGAGGTTTTCCATATGGTTGTTACAACATCTTTTCTTTGCGTTTTCCACCCTATTTTCACACACTTTTCAGCTGACTTTCATGTCTTCCCCGACTTATATTACAATGGCACACATCAAACAAAGCTCATCTAATGTGGGTTGGGTGCAAGTGATGTCTTGGCCAGCCTGTTTCCTCGTTGCCATAAAGGTGCTGTGTTCACTGTCGTATCGCTCCCAGCACTCAGTCCCCTTTTTGTCATCTACGAGGGGCAGCTATACCCTCTCCTCCTTTCTCTTTGTCGCTTGGCTGTGTAGAATGAGAAACATGTGAGCAGGACATCAAATGACCAAATCCAGGCAAGTGAAGTATACATAAGAAGAGCGCTTCGAGCCTGTGAAGCGTACATCAGTTGTTTCAATGCAGTGATCACGTAAATGAAACAAAGGAAGAACAGTGGATGTGAGTGTAGAAAAGCTTGAGGCTACAGCACCTTGAAGGTTACTTATTGTGCTTTTGGCCTTAATTTACAATTTTGAAAACACATAAAAGTGCTGTTTTGATATCATTTCTGTGACCTGTGCACTTGGATTCAGACTTAGGTATAACCTGATTGAGAATGACGAGAAGAACCAAAAGAGACCGAATTTGACCTTTTCATCGCTCCTGTGGAGATGAAGAGGGACCAGATGAAGTGATATGGGTGGAGAGAGGAGGGAGAGGAGAGAGAGGGCATCTCTGGCATGGCTGGAGCCCCTCAGTGTGTGAGGGTCCTGGGGCCCTTTAGACAGGCGCCAGCCCAGCAGGGAAGCAGAGACAATCACGCAGCACCAGATCCAATGCACAGAGATGGAGGGATGGAGGGAGATGAGGAGACGCAGAGGGGAGCACTGAGGAGGGGGGTGCTGGGACAAAGTGCACCGTTGAGAAAAGGTGGAGGACACGACAAGGAGAAGAGGAGACATGTCCAGGTGGAGATGGAAAGAAGTGGCGAATGAAAGAGATGAAGGAAGAGGCAGAAAACGGCAGATCAAGACAAGGCGAGGAGTAAAGGGAAGAAAGAGAAAGCATATACTCCCTCTGTAACAGTCTTTATCACCAGCCCAGATCGTGGCGTATGAACAGGGATCCAAGTCAACCATCTGCTGAGGCTAGATAAGCCTGGGAGAGCTGGGTATTGAGCTGTCACTCAGGGAGGAGCGCAGAAAAAGAAAGAGAGGAGGGGAGAGAGAAACAGAAAAGAAATAAAGACAGAACAGGAGAGGGAGAGGCATGGAGGGAGGGAGGGGTCTGCGCAAGGTAGGGGGAAATTCAAAGGAGAAGATTTGTGCAGACTGGAGAGCATCCGTCTTGTTAGAGAAAGTCTTAACGTCAAACAGACGTCCAGCCCTGTCCTGCCTAATCTTGAAATAATCCTTCAGCTAATGAGAAGAACAATAAAACAAGGCTATTTATTGGTTTCCACTTTTATCCACCCACACACACACATGTACACACACACACACACACACACACACACACACACACACACACACACACACACACACACACACACACACACACACACACACACACACACACACGTCCACTCACATCACCAGTGATCATCGTGCTTCTGACATGAGGCTGTTTGTTGTTCATTTTCTGTCACTAGCATGCACACATACATGTCACAAGCTATAAGTACAGAACCAAGTTGTTTACACTTTTAATGTTCTTGAAATAACTCTATATTTCACAACACACACACAATCACATGTTATCATGGCAGAAACGTGTGGGTGGGGGGGTTTGGTAAGACACCTCTGGTGGTGAGGATCCCCAAAGAGGAAGATGGGTTACTCGTTGATTAAGCCTGTGTGCAGGTGATTAAGTTAAATCCCACTTAAACATACCCCCCTAAACCACTTAATGCATAACTATGAATTTAATTATTATCATGTATATGCGTGAGAAATAAAGTTGGAAAAAGTTGAACATTGATTGATATGGTTTGATTTGTGTAAGAATTGTACAATGTTGTGCTTTTTAAGATCTACATCAAATCCTAAACACTTCATTTCTGTGATTTGGTTTATAAGGGGATTCGGTTGGGGACGGGGGCACGAATTAAGGCCGAGAGGGGGGTCAGGCCCGGGAGTGGGGGATAGGAGGGGATTAGCCGAGGCCAGTTGGATCATTTTACAGCCAGAGGACCCCCCTTCACCCTCTGCAGTCTCCTGGACAATGAGGATTAAACTCCTCTTGTTCCTCAACTCCGAAAAAACGGCAGGACGACAAAGACAC